TGCTGATTTTACGTCCTTTTGCCTCTAGTGTATCATCTCCATCTTTACTCTGGACCTTACCTGAGAAACTTAGATTAAATGTAAAGCCTTCCTTGAACCCAAGAAAGCAAAATTACTTGTGCCATCCCCTGTCTCCTTTTAGAATAACACTTACACAAATGCACGGTCACACACACACTCTCATATATACTCACAGACATTCAAACACACATTCACACAAACAGCTGATGGTATCACCGTTATGTTTTAATATGGATATTTGTGCATGCTATCACTCAGTTCCCTGAGAGCAATAAAGCACATGAGTATATGTGTTTCCAACATCATGTTACAGATAAATATTTAAATCCAATTCTGATGCATGAACTTCTCTGGCCCATCAAGTACACACTTTTGCTTTTCAACGCCAAAGACTTTCCCAGCCCATTGGCAAAACTGATCAAATGCCTGTTTCTATTTTAAAGATGAACTATTCAAACTTATCACCTTGTACCTGCCTTCTCCCTGCCCTGCTCCCAGCCCCATGGCATCCAAGAAAAACCTAAAATGTTAAGTATGTTGAAACAATTCCCAGGTTGACTGGCCAGAACACAGGTGGGGCGGACAGCTGTGTCAGAGAAGATACATCCCTCTCCATGAACAAAACCGTTGCACTTTCATAAGGAACCTCAACACAGCATTTTGGGAATTCGGACCCAGCTCATTGCTGGAGTACTGAGCAAACAAAGATAGCATAAAAATAAAATCATGAAAATGGCATCAGCAATCATGACATTCACACATTCTTATACCTCTCTTTTAAAATGTCAGCTCCTCCTGACAGCTGGATCCAGCCATGGAGGTAAGAAATGTTTCTATTTGTGAATCCCTCTAGCCCCTGCCATGTAGGACGAATTCAAACAGCCATCAGTAAACAGCATTCTCATCACTCCAGCCCAGACTGAATTCTAATCAAGGTCTTTTAAATGCCATTGAACAAATCTATATACTATGGATTGTTTCTTGTATGCCTCTGGCCAAATGTTATTCACTGGGACATTTATTATTTTTAGAAAACCAAAACAATCCACACTAATAGTGTAAATTACGGCACATCTAAAAGAAGGATCCAGGCATTCTTGTTGATTTAATACCAGAACTGAAAGAAGCTTTTAATTATCCCTCCTCTGGTGATTTATTAGACACTTGGAACATAGGACTCTCACAAGTATAGAGGAACCAGGTTTGTAATATCATTAACCAATAGAATAGGTTTGGTCTAACTATGCCTTAAAAGCCATGTACTAAAACCCAAGGGGTATGCATAGCTGAGTCCAAAAAGAACTACAATATAAAAATTAAAAGTCCAACATATTATATAAAGCGATTAATTTACCAAGAGACAGGAATCCCAAAACAGATTATCTAACATGAAAATGGACATACAACCTAAATGGCATTTTCTGCAAAGTGTGCACATAAACTGCTCAGCCACAAAAAACAATGTTAAGCTAACACTTCTTGTATTCTCCTATTCTCCTAAGTATCACAAGAATGGAAAAACAAGTACCACATATATTCATCATCAAATTGGTGCTAATTGACCAACACTTATGTGCACATATGGAAGTGGCATTGGTCGAATGTCGGGCAGGTGGGAGTGAGGAGGAGGGGATGGGTATATTCACACCTAATGGGTTCAGTACACACTGTCTGAGGGATTGGCATGCTTGTAGCTCTGCCTTGGGCAGTACAAAGGCAATATATGTGACCTAAACATTTGGACCCCCATAATATTCTGAAATTTAAAAAGGGAACAAAATTAAGACATGAGAAGCAGAATATTATGACTATACCTCAAACAAATACATGGGCTCAACAAAGCCCAACTGAAACCAATAAACATTATAATCCAGCTGTCCTCTCTTGAGTAAAGTTCATCAGGAATGTGATAAAGAAAACGGCAGACAACTTGGCTGCTGGTGTTCTTGACATCCGTAGACAAGTCAATTAAAAAGGCTTCCGAGAACTACATGTCATCAGGCCTATCTGTCCATCATCCCTGAATGTATGAAAGGAAAACCACAAAGCCATTTCTCCTGGCTATTGTTTATAAAAAGCCATAATTTTAGGCTTCGAGAAAATAACATCTGAAAGAAAAGCTGGTGCCTGCATTGTATCTTCAGATTAATTAAGCCAAAGGCTTGGAGATTTGGAATTGAAGTTTCAGACTAGTTGCTTCTTTACTGAGTAAAGTTATCTCTAAATCAATGCTGGAATTGGAGAGTGTCATAGGAATGGCTGCCTTTAAAAGTCCTCACTATCACTATCTGGGGACATCTTTCCTCAAAAGAAAGAATTTTAGCTACATTCATCTCCAGGCCCAATAATCAATTCCACATTAGTTCCCCATATTTTTCTCTCTTCTTTGTCATTGAGCTCCGCACTCTGGATCATTTTCCCACCAGTCTTCTCTATGCTCCCCCTTCCTTGATGCTACCCCAGCCCTTTCCAAGACAAGCTGAACAGAAACTTCCACAGCACCCTTAATTAGCAGAACTTGTTTTTCTTCATTGTTGCCTCTCCCCTCCCCATCTTCATTGTGTGTGTGTGTGTGTGTGTGTGTGTGTGTGTGTGTGTGTGTGTGTTAAGGAGTGATGATCTGGGTTCTGGACAGTGGCTTAAGAAGTTTCATTTGCTTAAAAGAATAAACAAGAAAAAAATCAAACAACCGAATCAAGAAATGAGCAATGGAAATGAACAGAAACTTCTCCAGAGAAGACAGGCCTGCAAACATATATAAAAAAAAAATGTTCAACATCTCTAATCATTAGAGAAATGCAAATCCAAACCACAATGAGATACCACCTAACCCCGGTGAGAATGGCCTGTATCAAGAAATCCCAAAACAACAAATGCTGGCGAGGATGAGGAGAGACAGGAACACTCTTACACTGCTGGTGGGACTGCAAATTAGTGCAACCTTTGTGGAGAAGAATTTGGAGATACCTCAAACGGCTAGAAATAGAAATACCATTCAACCCAGCAATAGCATTGTTGGGCATCTATCCAAAAGAACATAAGTTTCTCTATCATAAAGACATCTGCACCTGAATGTTTACGGCAGCACAATTCACTATTGCATACGGTCATGGAAACAACCCAAGTGCCTGTCAATTCATGAGTGGATAACTAAAATGTGGCATATGCTCACAATGGAATATTACTCAATCCTAAGAAACGACAGTGAGCTAGCACTGTTTATGCTATCCTGGATTAAGTTTAAGCCCGTAATACAAAACGAGATGACACAAAACCTGGAGAATGGGCTACACATCTACTCGCCATCAAATTGGTACTGACAGACTAAAACTATGGTGCTCAAAAAATGGTAGTGTTCAACAGGGATTTTGGTGGGGGGGAGACCCACATCTTAAGGATGTGGTGAGCATTGTGGGGGAAGGGATTACCTCTATCCCTTTTTAGGGAGAGGCAAAGATACACACTGTAACCAAAATGTCTAAAAAAAATCTGTTATTGGGAGGTGGAAGGGGGGAGTAGGGGAAGGGTAAGCACTTACATGGTGGGTGCAGTGCGCACCACTTGGAGGCTGGGCATGCTTGAAGCTCTGGCTTCACCCATAGCGGGGTGGGGAGGGAGGCAGGGGGAAGATATGTAACCATAACAATATTTGTACCCACATAATATGAGATAATAAAAAGTTTTTAAAAAAAATTTTACAAAGGAAATTATAATAAAAAAGAAGTTTCATTTGAATTACTGTAAAAATCTGTGAGATTTGAAAAAAAACTAATACAAACTGGGAATGCCATAGATTTAAGAAATCTGAAAGTCTCATACTTTTCTCTGTTTGATTTAAACTTCAAATGAGTCCTTTTTCTAAACAACCCCTCATGAACTCCCATTTTTTCAGTAATGATGTGAAAGATAGCTCAGATGGAAGCCTTTAGAATTCATGATTCACTTGACAAATATTTACAAGGTGCCAAGCAAGGTACTATGCACTTTACTGAGGATAAAGTGATGGCAAATTTGGTACTCAGTAATACTCAAATGAACAAAGATTAACCTGCTCCACTTTCAGCCTTCCACATCTCAGTAAGGACAATTTCATCTTCCCAGGTTATCAGGCCAAGTACTAATAAGATTTGCAAGTTCACAGAGCTGCATCAGCTTTACTCCACAAATCTCGGAGCTCTTTTTCACCAAATGATGCAATGTTAGACTCACTTATAATTTCTAATGGCAAGCTAGTGCAGGCTGAAACTTCTCTATTCTGATAGAAAGTTAACTAAATTGATGGCCACATTAAAATCCCAAATCTATATATAAGGAGACATTTTACAATTCTCTGACTAACCCAGGATATGAACAACTAGTTACAGTTTCAATGAGTTCCATATGCAAACTGGTCTCTATGTATAAAAGAAAGATGCAACAATGATTTACTTATTCCCATCAAAGTTGAAATCTCGATCTTTGTTTTATGGATGTTTGAACATATCCTCCTCAATATTTCCTTTCATTTATTGGCTTAGAACAGAGGAAGAAAGCATAATAAAATAAAGTGCACTATTGTCCTTCCTGATTAGTAATAATCTAGTTGTAGAGAAAGTGCATTACTGTCTTTTATTTTTCTAGCTGCATCAAAATATTTGATTAAGCAGGGAGGAATATTATTTGCCTCTTTTTACAAATCAACTTTATATTTCCTTCAAAGAATGAAATATATTCTTTATAGGAAAAAACAGAAAATATAGGAGGTCATAAATAAACAGAAAGCAATTATATTTTTATCAAGAAAGTGCAACCATGATTTTTAAAAATCCTATATTTTTTGAGTTTTACTATGCTTTGTTTTTTTTCCTCATAAATAAAATATCACTTACTATATTTTTCTGATTATAAAGGTAGTATATGTTAATAACATAAAATTTGGAAAATGGAAAATTGTATAAAATATAAATAAATTATCTGTTTCTATCAATCTTATTATTTTGATACATTTCTGTTCCACATCATATTAAATGTTTTCTATTTCCTATCCCTGCCTCTCTGTTTCTCTCTCTCTCTCTCGCACACACACACACAAACACACATGCACATTGCATATTGCTTTCTTAATATTTCTGAATTGTTTTTCAGATCATTAAAAACATTTTTGAACATAAGTTTTAGTGTGGATATAGTATTTCATATAAATGTAAAATAATTGAATGCTTACACATTATTTGAGTTAGATAAAATCCTTTTTCTATTATAATTGATAATGAGATGAACATCGGTTTTTCTTTAACATACATTGCTGAGTTTTTACATAAAAGGGAACACCACATCAAATTTTTTAAGCATGTTCAAGTTTCCCCATACATATTGTCTATCCAACTCAGCAGAAATAATGTTTACACAGTTTTAACTGGATATTATATATAAATTTACAGTCTTTTACTTTTTTAGTTTTTCCATGTGTAACCACATGTCATTTTATAAAACACTTTCTATATAATATTTTTCCTATTGTTAGACTTTTGGGTTTCCAATCAGCCTTTATAATTTTTTTGATTACTTAATCAAGGATCAAAATACTTTTCTAGTAGAGACTGACTCTTGCTTTCATTTCTAAAGTTATAGATAAAAAAATAACAATGACAAAGAAGTCATCAAAAGTGACACAGCCCTGCTACAGAAACGATAAAAGAATGCAGGGAGATGAATCTAATTTTATTTGTGTTAAAGTAATTTATTTGCCCTTTGAGGTGTTTAGGAAGGTCTTGGCCCTAGAGATACCACATTCTCTCTAGTTCTTAGAATAGTTGGATTCAGAAACGCAAACTTGGAGGCATCTTTCAATAGGATTCTAAGTTCTTTTTTATATTTCTGAAATGGATCAATATAGATCTATGTGGTTAGATAATGTCTGCATGGCACTGATAATGCAATTATTAACTAACCAAGTAATCCTATTTTTAAATGATTTTATATGAAAAAATGAACCTGACATTGGATACATTTTTACAGAGTGATTTCTTTATCTGTTCCAAATTTATAACCATACTTCAGCATAGAATATTCTCAAAGCTGAAAGTTGGTGCAATTCTTATTTCACATCATTTTTTCCTAAAATTATAACATGTGACTTTTCTTCCAATCAAAATAATGAAAGCAAATGAATGAAATCACTTACGTCAAATGTGAGGTTTCAGGATAGTACTCAGTAAATTGTTGAGAACAAGCCATCCCTTACAATAGCTAACCAGACAATGTTCAAGAACTGGAGAAAAGGCTACGGAAATGTTGGGTTCAGAAAATTTCAAAATAAAATGTAGGCAACTAGTAAGTGGGACAATTAGCAGCTAACTTAAGCTGATTTCTTTTTCCCCGTTCAAGAACAGAGAAAAAGTAGTAGATAGTTACAAGTATTTAATGGAGAAGTGGAGGAGAAAATGTGAAAGAAAGTTCTGGCAATAAACATGGTATCCTCAGGAGGGATAAAGGAATAGCATAGAGAGAAAGACATAAGAAAGAAAGGTTATCTTTTCTAATAGTGTGGACTGGAAGAAAGAATATATAGAGATTTATCACAATGAATGCTATGGCTTTTTTGTTTTATATTCATTGCACTTTGGTAAAATATTTTTTTCTTTGATTTTAACCTAGAAGATCCAGATGTTGAACACCATACATAAGAAATTATTGTTTTCCTTTTCTCCTTTGATATGGAGAGGGGAAATAACTCATCCTATCAATATTTGAATGATGAGAAAATGCTCTATTACATTAAATTCCCTAAATTAATGTCTTAATTTTTAAAAAGCACGTATAATATATATCTTTCCTAAGTATTTTTTATATCCTTACTTTGAAAAAGCAAAACTTCATGTTAAATTTATATGTTATTGTTTTCTAAAGCCTTCCTCAAAAATATTGTTGCACTTATAAAATTTCCATTTGATATAGCCAAGGCCTTTTCCAAAATCTGCCTGAGTAAAAATTGCGATTTAATGCAATAATTTCCATACATACATAAATAAGTCCTATTGGATGATCTTAATATTAATATTAATATTGAACCTGGGGTCAAACTCTAATACAAAATATCAAAAATATAAAATATCAAAATATCAAAAATCATTTTACGTGATCTTCCAATTTAGCCCTTGTGAAGTCTATTTTTATTAATTAGGTCTTATCATTTCACTGAGCTCCTAGAAACTGAGAAAAAAAAAAAGGATTTTGTAGAGCTATTGCAATCCAAACCCCACAAATTATTTTAGGCATCAGTGACTTCATGGACTCATTATTCTGGCAACTTTGGAGGAAGGAATAAGTTGACAATCCTAGTACTTCAAGCTATAGGAAAATAGAAAAAGCATAAAAGGAAAATGCACCTGAAGCTTAAAAAGCCTGTGTACAGAGAAGTTTAATTTATTATTCTAATGACTTTCACAGCATGAGGCTCTCACCAGGAGACACATGTCTATGCAAGTAATAAGGCTGCAGAGATTGGGCTATTCCTGAAGGACCCTCATGGCTGTTTCCAAAGCATCTTTTTATAGATGGGAAAATATAAAGTATGTGAAAAAGGGTCAAGGCTGATGCTATCTATGCTGTTTTGCTGCTAGTTAACTTCATATATATTCCTCAGAAATGAAGCCAATTTTAGCCAGCAAACTTCAATTAAAATATTTAGGTTGTTTTTACTAAATACTTATTCATATTTTGCTCTTGAAGCCAGAGGAAACCTAGATAAGCTATATTATGGTTAGGATAAAACTCCTGGAATGCTCTACTTAGTTGTAAAATATAACTGAGGTTTGCCACAAGTAGGTGCCTCATAGTTTGTCCTTCTCCATTTCATCACCTTTACCTGAATTCTACTTACTCTCCTGGTTGCTGCCAATGTTTCCATAAATTGTAAAATTTTGGGGACCTATACCCATACATCTATTTTTTACATAACATGGTCATTGTTTTGCAGGGTTTTTTTTTCAATGAATAATATATGTGAGATTTTTCAATGTCATGTATGTATCTGTTCCATATTTAATTATCCCTCTTCCTCACTTTGGGCATTTAGTGGTTTCCAACATGTCTGCAATAAACATTCCTGTACACATATCATTTTGTACATATGCACATAATTCCTAGAAGTAGAAAAGATGTACCTAAGATATATGAATTAAAAATCTGATAGATATTTCCAAATGTTAATGCATAAGTTTTCCTGAGTTACACTTAATAGCATATGAGAGTAACTATTGCTGCTCATCTTTGCTACATTGGGTGATATGTATTTGTATTTTAAATTTATGTCCATTTGATAGCAAAATTATATTTATTACTGTTGTTTTTAATTTGAACTTAAATTAACTCTGTGATCATGTATAAATATTTTCACTACATAGTGAAGACTCAATCATTCTTTTTAAATGTTGAGGTTTCACAAAGCCCTATGTTAGAGGATCTCTGTAGGTATTATATTACATACTAATCAGGTTTGCTGGTCGCTTCATAATTATTTGCAGTAAAGACACTTGTGCACTAAATAGGCAAATCCCAATAAGGAACAATCTAGTCCCAATTCTTTCCAGGCTTGTTTCTGCCCAAATGTATAATAAATTACATGTATCATGCCCCACTCTTTCTGAATAGCATACTAAGTCTCCCGAGGGATTACCATGAGGCTCTTTTCAGATTTAGGCCAAAGTATGATGAAAGGCCAAATTCAATGAGAAAGGCATAGAGATAAGAATAAAAATCAATATTGAACACCTAAGCCACTATCAGATGTTTGGGAAAGACTTGCGTCTAGGTGAGGCCAGCCATAAGGGCAGATAAGAGAGATGGAAAACTTATACAAGACCTAAAATGTCAAAAGCAAGAGAACTACTTTTTTATTTGTATGCAATGCAATCTCAGCATATATATGTGTGTGTGTGTGTGTGTGTGTGCATGCACACACACACACACACACACACACACACAGAGACAGAGAGAGAGAGAGAGGATGGATTGACATACCAAATAAGACTTTAAAGAACTAAGGAAGAGCAATGCAATGAAGTTGACTTTTACCAGGGAGTAGATTCTAAATCACTGTTAATTAGCTAGAGTATAGTCAAAATTACACCTCAAAATACCTTTACCCTCTTGTGCAATACCCTATCTGTGTTCCAATCTAGAAAGTAAGTTGTAGGATTTTGGAAGATACCGTATAGGTTAAAATTGTGATTTCACCCACCATTTTCCCCTTTTTAAATTGGATTATTTTTATCCATATCTAATCACTCATGGATAATACCTTGTAAAGCTGCAACCAATGTAAGACCTGCTTTTTTTTATCAATTTCCAAACCATCTAACACCCAAAATTTCTTGAGTGTGTTATCTCATTTGGACCTCCCAGCAGCTGGATGAAATAAGTGCTATCATTAACTCTCAATTTACAGCAGATAAAAATAGAGTCTCTGGTGGTCACACTGGAGGTATTAGGTATCTGAATACATGTACACATTCACTGACAAACACACACATCGTCCCCAGTAAATATTATTCACTATGTAAACTTCAGACATGAATATGTATAAACTAGCAACTTTTTAAAGAGACCCAGTCCTCAAGAAAAATGACTCATTTAACAATTACGGTGGCCATGCTATTTTGATATGCACAATTAGTAAGACGGTTAGGACAATTATGAATACTTATTTAATAGAATGAAAGTCACTGCAATCACATTTTAGCTAGTCTTGACAACTGGAAGGAGGTTAACCAGGCTCTCTAAGACTAGAAGATACTATTATTTCTTCACAGGGTTATTTGGCCCAATAAACTGCCTTAAGGAAATATTCTCTTGAGGGATTATTATTATAATCTAATTGCTTGACAGCTTAGTACCACAGAATTTGCCATTAGGTCAACAAAACATAGAGTAAAAGTATTTTCCCATCACTACTTTACTTAGAGCCTTGTGAAATCACAGCACACAGTAGTCATTCAAAAGAAAAAGACATCATTGCATTGAAATTGTTAAACACAATAGAAAAAAAAAGAGTAAAAAAA